CCCCCCTTTACACAAGGTGGGGTGGGGAAAGTTTTTCAAGTGTTTCTGTGCATTTAAACTAAAATAGATAAATTTTATTCTTTTTCTATGGTTTGACCTTTTCAAAACAAGATATGTATTTACCTCCTTTAATCAGTTTTGCATGTACACATGTAATCTCTGAAAGTTTGATATGTATTTGTTTTCAATTTGAAAGTATGACAAAAAATATCCTAGATTCTTCCACAGGAAAGATGGGAACACATGTATGTTATCCTCGATGTATCCACCTTAATGTATTAAGCAGGCTATCTTGAATATGAAGAACGAAACAAAAAGGTATTGGGCATCTGAAATTCCTCTAATGAAAGATAAAAATAATTCAGAAGAAAATCCATTTTCTTACAAATATATCTTTTATGAGCTAGTAGTAATATTTTCAGCTTTTGAGCTTAGATTTTGATTTTTTCCAAACATTTTTTAGTTGATGACACACAAGATGGACATCTAAATTTCAACTGCAGTGCTTCAGTTTTTGTTTTCCATTTTTTCTGTTTGACTATTTCCCCATCCATTGGTAATTATGCCAGTTTATAGATTAAAAAAAAACAATTGATATAGACTACGTATAATAATGCATGTGCTTTTTATGTTGTAAATGTACTCTATCAAACAGAGCCTTGACATCTAACTGTTACTGCTGGCGGTCTCATCTTCATTATATATCATCTTGTGTCGTTAAGCTGTTTTGATATGCGTAGTTACTAGATTTCTACTTTGCGATTATACTTCGCGGGGAGCAAGACAAGCCAACTTGAAAAATGACAGCATTACCAATATTGTGTTTTTGTATTGAATTTCAAGTGTTTGAAATTCTCCTAGCATGATCTTGCTCACAAAGTAACATTTTTTGCACCTATGGCATGGTGTGGCGTCCGTCCCTCTGTCGTCCATCCGTCTTTTTACTTTAAGCAACTTCTTCTCAGTAACCAAAAGGCCTAAGGTGATGATATTTGGCCAGTAACATGCTGAAATGAAGGGCTACCAAGTTTGTTCAAATAAATGACCTCATCCATTTTCAAGGTCACAGGGGTCAAATATGTTCAAATCTTTAAACAACTTCTTCTGAATAACCAAGAGGCCTAGGGTGATGCTATTTTGCTAGAAGATGCTGGGTTGGAAGACTATAAACTCTGTTCAACCTAATGTCCTTGTTCGACATTCAAGGTCACAGGCGTCATATGTTTCAATCTTTTAATAGGTTCTTATTAATCAAACACTGATATTCTGCCTGTAGTTGTATTTTAGCCCACTTTTAAGATTACAAGTGTGAGATTAATACCAGGTGAGTGATTCAGGCCCATTGGGCCTCTTGTTTACACAAGTCAGTGATGACCTTGACCCAATGTGATGGTCACATACCCAGATGTGGTACATTAATCAAAAGTCATTTTTACCATTTACAAAAACAGATTTATTTTTTATTTTTAAACAAAATTAAATAAAATAGTACTTTTTCATTGTCACTTCTACCTGAGAAGACACTTGTTTTCAATAGATTGTATATTTGGTAAGACCAGGGAAATATCGAAGTCAGTGGTAGGACCACATCTGCATCATTGCAAGTGTTGCTTTGCATGGTTTGAATTTATCATCCTAATCAAAAAGTACAGTAGAGACATGAATTTCCAATATACTTCATGCACAGCTATTCGGTGATTTGTTTTTTAATAGTGATTTATTTATCCAAAAAACTAAAATATTCCAGAATTTTGTGTATGCACCAATTAAAGTCTTGGATATAGAAAAAGTAAAGTTATTTCCGAGTTTTGTTTGAAAAAGTCTTGGATAATAAGAAAAGTAGTACATTTTCTAGGGAAAACAAATCAAAGATAATCTACACATACTTAAGAATTTGTGTCAAAGCCAAAATTCAGAGTTAAATTTGGAAACTTAACTGTCTGCAATGAAAATATAACTTTGTACACATTTAAATATTAATCTTTGTTGCATGCTTGTTGTATGTTTTTATTTTTTTTCTTATTATATTTTGATGTTTTTTCCAGTGTTTATTTTGATTTGTCATCATTGGTCAACAGAGGTTCAACGAGTGGGAGTAACACCATTTATCATTTATCATTGTCCACCAAAGAATGTCGTATATTATTTTCTTTACATTTTGTGAAAATAAACAAAATATTGTACAAACAAATACAGATTTGTATTAGTCATTTGTTCTCATTTAAAAGTGAAAGTGGAACTCTGAAAGGTTAATACGAGCCCCGCCATGACATGTGCCTGGCCATTAGTTAGGCGTTTTGTCATTGCCTTTTCACTGACTTGGGTCCAATGCGGGGCCCTAACTATAGAGACTGATTTCCTGTGATGCAGCTCGGCTTTAAAAAATCTATTTCACCAACACCATCAAATTACAGGTGTTTGATACAGACCTAATGGACCTTTTGTTATGAATTTACGAATTAAGAAGGGCTACCAAGTTTGTTCAAATGAATGAACTTGACCAACTTTCAAGGTGACAGGGGTCAATTGTCTTAAAATCTTCAAACAACTTCTCAATAACCAAAAGTTCCAGGGTACTGATATTTGGTCTGTTGCATCCTAGGATGAAGGACTACCAAGTTTGTTCAAATGAATGACCTTGACTTATATTCAAGGTCACAAGGGTTGAATATGTTTAAAACCTTTAATAGAGTTTCTTTTGAATAACCAAGAGGCCTAGAGTGATGATATTTGGCTAGTAGCATGCTGGGATGAAGGGCTACAAAGTTTGTTCAAATGAATGACCTTCATCTTTTTTCAAGGTCACAGGGGTCAAATATGTTTTAAACCTTTAAACAACTTCTTCTGAATAACCAAGAGGCCTAGGATAATGCCAGTAACATGCTGGGATGAAGGACTACCAAGTTTGTTCAAATGAATACCTTGCCATATATTCAAGGTCACAGGGGTCAAATATGTTAAAAACCTTTAAAAGACTTCTTCTTAATAAGCAAAAGTCCAAGGGTGATGATATTTGGCCATTAACATACTGGGATTAAGGTCTACCAAGTGAAGGACCTTCACCCATATTCAAGGTCACAGTGGTAAATATATGTTTAAATCTTTAAATGATTTGTTCTGTATAACCAAAAGGTCCAGGGTAATGATATTTTGCCAGAAGCATGCTGGGTTGGAAGACTATAAACTCTGTTCAACGTAAAGTCCTTGTTCGACATTCAAGGTCAAAGGCGTCGTATGTTTAAATCTTTTGATAGGTTCTTATGAATCAAACACTGATATTCTGCCTGTAGCTGTATTTAAGTCGACTTTTAAGATTACAAGTGTGAGATTAATACCAGGTGAGCGATGCAGGCCCTTTAGGCCTCTTGTACACAGTTAACCAAATCAATCATGGTCAATTGTAACTACGATTACTATAAGCATAACAGGCAAGAGTATTTCCACTGATGTATGCATGACAATGCCACGTTTGATGCGAAAGGAAGGAGTATCACTTTGATTCCGAATGAAGATAAATTTGCATCCTTCCTGTGACTTGTTTTAATCTTCCTTCAAGAAAATATTTAAATAAAAACAGAGAAAAACTCTTTTTTGGGATTGTCTGATTATATAATTAATTGATAACATTTGAAAGGTACACAAGAATTGATGACACATTTGAAAGGTACTAGTACACAAGAAATGATGACAATTTTTTAGATACACAAGAACTGATGACAATTTTGTAAGATACACAAGAATTGATGAAACATTTGACAGGTACACAAGGATTTTGTTCATTCTTTATTAACACAATCAATAAAGTTTCAATTTTAGTGAAATCTTCATTTTATTAAGTCACATACATCTACATAAACAAAACACCACTTGCACTCCTAAACAACAACTGTATTATCCCAACTATATAAACACATGCTAGACAATGCAACATCATTTTAATATGAACATGTACATAATAACAATTTTCATTTTAACATTAATGTAGAAAAACACCTGGTTGATGAGTTTTATCCAAAAGAAAATTGTAAGACCTGCTCAATGATTATAATTCAAAGGAAAATTCTTACAGCTTGTTTCTGTGTTGAAACTTTATAATGTCAATCACATTTTTTTTCTGTGTTGAAACTTTATAATGTCAATCAATGTTTTTTTCTTCTTCCAAAATTATTTGTAAAAAGGTATAAAGAGATAACATATACAGTAACTATTTATTCTTTATCATTTTTATCATTTTTTCATAAATGTCCAGCAATTTTTTTTCTTTCTTCAGAATTGACTTCTCAAAGCTATATAGTCATGCTAGATCAACCTGTTTCGAATGCTGCCTTAATACATTTTTTAGCAGAGGAACAGGGATCCTTAACCCTTTCACCACTGTGAACCATAATGGACTCATCCAGAGAAATGTATGGTAGAGTCTACTAAAGTCACCTAGATGTAGAAGGGTTAAATCCGCATTGCACTACAGCATCCATGTTTTAAAATGAAGTATAGGGCTACATTCGTGTATCCGGTTGAACCGGTTGAACCTGTAAAGAAAACGACAGGTACCGATTTGGACCGAGGCTGACCTCAGGAAAATTTGGTACGTGTAGATTGAGGGGTCCAGACGTACCTGACCGAAACTAAAATGCTGAATATTGCCAATTTGCTTTATTTCTTTCTTAAACAATGTCAAGTCACATGTAGTTTTTAAGATACGTTATGTAATTTAGTGGACGGATAAAAGAAGGGCATATTATTCTTGATACATTGTTTTTTATTCTCTGAAACTGTGCATTTTTAGCTCTGCTTGTAGAACGGTCCAAGTGTGTTCGTTTATCGTGGAAAATTTCTGCGCCACACGTACCGTTTCAACCAGGATACGCGAATGTAGCCTTGAAAATTTTGATACCAGTAATTTGTTCATTGATAAATTACAGATTTTTTTAAAATAAGAATTTAATTTTAAAATAATAACCCATGCATATAGCAGTGCAAGTATTTTTTTATTAATCATTAAGAAACTAATTCAAAACAATAACTGAATAAATATTTGTTTGAATTCCAGTTCAAATCTAACTCATTGAACTGAGATACATATATATGTATAAATAAGTCACTTGCAAGTTATGAAGTGAAGTGAAAGTGAAAAGTATTTATATTTTACAGCATTTTCTGTTCACTGAACATCTGGTAACCATAATTATATAATTACCGAGTATCATTCTGATGTCCCACTTCCAGCAGTGTTCAATTTAAAAACAAATCCATCCAAAATAAAGACATGAAAGGACTATGCATGGTTTGGGGCTTTTCTGGCCCCCAAATCCATCAAAATTAAAAATCTGCAATAGAACTTTCAAACGAATGTTTCTTTAATTTTGAATACTTCCCCAGTACTCCATGTATTATGTAAATATTTATTTGTGTTTTCAATTTTGGCTGCCGTGGTAACCAGGTCATATTTGCATAAATTATTGAAATTTGATAATTCAGTCAATTTTGACAGGTTTTCACCTAGTTTTTCTCTTAGCTACCATAGAACAAACTTTATATTTCTCCTAAAGATGTATTACAGGTGCCTACACATTATCCTTTCATATTAAGTTTGTTCAAGCATACGCTCTATAGTTTTTAGGAGAAAAACTATGCAAAATATCCCAATATTCACTGAATATTATAATTTATGCAAATTTGAACTTGTTACCATGGCAACAATAAAATAATTATTTTCATAATAGTATTTAGGAAGTTTTCCAAATTAAAGAAACAGTCATTTCAAAGTTCGTTTAAAGGTTTTGAATTTTGATGCAAAACAGGCCCAAACCATACATAGTCCTTTGACAAAATAATATCAAATTAAAATTAATAGTACATCTGGCCTGCATTACAAATTAAGTCATTTTGTTATACACTGTATACAATTTAGTCTATTTTAAAATTGATTCACTTTACTGGTAAAGCTCTGTTATTATTATATTTCTAGGCGGCCATTATGGCTGAATATTTCTTCACAGTCAATGTTAGAAAACTTTGAAACACATGTCTTGCGTTTGTCCTTTTGTACCTCCTGATGCCACAGGTATTGATACGATCTATCAGAAATCGAGTGGGTCTTTTGTTTTGCCGTGTACAGATTCCGCGTTGATACCCTCCTGACTGCTCTGGGAGAAATCGGCCGGGGAATCCGGTTCCGAGTCTGTATTTTCCAGGCTTCCATCAAAGACTTTGATAATGTACTCGTACAAGGAAAGTCTCTTCTGTCTAAAGAATTTACTGACCACATTCCTTTCATACTGAGCGATGAGAGTCATGATGTTACCTGTGGAAACAAGCACAGACAAGATTATAGCATCAACTAGAACCACTGACAGGTCAGGAAGGGCCCTGCCATGTGCCCACCCGCCC